TTCAGTACTTATTTTCAGTTTTTGTTCCGACATTAGTCGGATAAGACATTATAACCTTTTTTATTTATCAGTTTAAAATTTTAACGGTTTTTAGAAAAATCAATTTTTTCACGGTAGCATCCCGAATCAGTTTTCGCAAAAATTAATGTTTACTTATTTATTCATAAAATTGCGAAAAATCGCGTACTCTGATAGTATTAAAAAGTCGGGGTGTTACAATTGGTATCAGAGCACGTTTCTGCGTCTCTGAAAAGTTTTCAGTCAGTTTTCGGGAAAAACTTGAACCGTCACGCTCACGCCTCGCCGACTCCAGGTAAGTGCTGATTCAGTTTTCAGTTATAAACATATTACTTTGTCTATGCTCAAAAAACAGTAATCAGACTTAGTTAAGATGCTCGAATCAGATTCAGACTTTAGAGTTCAGTTATAACTCTATAATTCAGTATATTCAGGCATGACTTTAGAGATCAGTATACTCAGGCATGACTCTAGAATTTAGTATCTTTCGAGTTGACTCTAGAGTTCCTCAGGATTCATGTCAGTATTTATCGGCCATTTTTGGCAACTCGTCATGAGATCTGTGTGCCTAAGTAATCAGTCAGAATATTATCACGTGTTCAATAATTTCGAACTTTCTCAATGTTCAGGTGCCGCCCCGTAGGGAACCCGATCACCCGGCTCCTACTCAGGCCACAGTAGTCGCACAGTTTCGCGACTATCATGCCGAGAAATTCTCCAGGCAGGGAGATTCCGTATCATGGACGAGTGGATTCAGAACCTTAGAAAGGAATTAAGTTTGAGAACTCTAGATTCAATTCTAGATTTATTCAAGTCAAGTCAGCAACTTGTCAGGAGATTTGTAAGCACTTGTGCTAAACAAATCTTAATAATCATGTTTCTCAGATATTTCTATCGGAAACTGCCATTTTGCCAATCAATTGGCAGACTTCAGGGGGAAATTCCTTTTTCAATTCGAGGAATAGACTTAAATTTCCTAAAGTCGGATCAGTAAATCATGTTCA